AANNNANGNNTTATAGTTTATATGTTTATATGTTATAGTTTATAGTTTATATATTATATTTTATAGTTTATATGTTATACTTATAGAGTTTATATGTTATAGTTTATAGTTTATAGTTTATATGTTATACTTTATATGTTATATGTTATATTTTATAGTTTATATGTTATACTTATATAGTTTAGATGTTATACTATAAATAATATATACTATATACTATATAATACATATTGTATAATATATACTATATAAAATATATACTGTATACTATATACTATATAATATATACTATATACTATATAATATAGACTATATACTATATAATGTATACTATATGTTAAATTATAATATTTATGTATATACAATATATTAAAAATACTATATACTATAAAAAAATCTTGATGTTAAATTCGAGTCCCGAATCTGGGATCCTCTTGCCGTTTTTTTTACATTTATAAAACGGATTACGTGAATCCGTTTTTTAAATAATTCAATTTATAAAACGGATTTCATGAATCCGTTTTACGTTAGATATAAAAAAAAATCTCCTTCTTCTCTCCTTGCGCGAACAGAACACAACACACACACACAGAGAAGAGAAAGAGAGCGAGCGAGAGCGAGTGGAGAGAGCGAGAAAGAAGCTTCGTGGTCGGAAAATTTTGCCGAACATTCGACTAACCATCACCACCGGACCTCTCTTCCCGTCTATTAGGTACGTTTATTCTATTAGGCTTCGATTTTTTCGCTTTTTAAATCATTTTCGAATTAGGGTTTAAATTGAATATGTTGTTTGAATTATATATAATGTGTTGTGATTGAGATATGTATGTATGTTGATGGATTGTTTGTTTATTTTGTTTGATAAATTGAGTGGTTATTTGGAAATTGATTAGGGTTTTGTAGTTTGTTTAGAAATATATGATTTGAAGGTGTTCGATAAAATACCTCAAAGGGATTGTTGTACATATTATTGACATATTGTGAATATGTGATGATTGTGATGAGGTGAATTTATTTGTGAATTTATATAATATGTTTAGGGATTATTTTGTCGGAAGTTGAATTGTTGGAGTCAAATTGTCGATTAGAGATTATTTTCGATTTATTATGTATATGATTTTTGAATTTGTGGATTTATTGTTTAGTTCATTTATTTGTGTTTTTGTGATTTTTTTTGTGTGAATATGATTGTATTATTGTAATATAATTAATTATTGTTAGTATGTAGTATATAATGATTGTTTTTTTTTTTGGCAGAAAATGGCATCTTCGTCGTCCTCACAACCGCAGCGCTACAATGTACATCCCGGTCCAAGAAATCCGTCGACTCTATATCTTCAGTACTGCCACCGGTCGAGTGATTTGTTGTCGTGACGGCGTCATTAAACCCCGCCGTTTCGACACTCAGTTCTGGAAGGCGTTGGATCGCCAGCATCCCAGAGTTTGGGATGCCATCGAGAAGACGGGGTTTGGCCCGCTGTTTCGAATGGGCAGATTTATGACCGACAACAGCCTCGTCACGTGTCTGGTGGAAAGGTGGCGACCGGAGACGCATACCTTCTACTTTGACTTCGGGGAGGCCACCATCACACTGCAGGACGTACAAGTCATTTTTGGTCTCCCGATCGATGGAGAGCCTTGTTGGGGAGCGACTCAAGATAACACACCCCATAAATGGCAAGAAATTTGTAATGATTACCTAGGGTTCGAGCCCTATGTTCAGGTAAATTTTTTTCTTACAATTTTGTTTTTTTGCTTTTAATTTTATTTATGTTTACTCAATTCATTAATTTTTAATATATATAAACCATTCTCAGGATCCCGACGAACCGGTTCAAGACCCAAGACTTGGGCCATTCATGACCAGTATTTGAAGGTCTATGCGTTAGAAGACGAGTGCAACAGAGAGCTAACCGATGTGGAGCATATCCCCACCTACGAGGCGAGGGCGAAGGCCCTTATACTCTGGTGCATCGATTTTTTCTTCTTCCCCGACCAGAGGGGAAATGGAGTGAACCTGTACTGGTTGCAGCTTTTGCACGACATCGATACGATCAAGACGTACAGCTGGAGTTCAACGGTCCTGGCCGGAGTGTATAGAGCGCTCTGCACGAGCGCCAGGTCCGGGGAAAACTGGATCAAGAACTGTGTCCAATTGATTCAGGTAAATTTATTTGCTTCTTATTTGAAAATTCATTTTTTTATTCTAATTTAGACTAATATCTAATAACAAATGAATATGTCGATATGTGTAGGTTTGGGCATATGAACGTATCCCTCGTATTCGCCCAAGAATGAGGGATACGAACTTTGAGAGAGTCCCTGCTTGTCCCTTAGGTGCAAGGTAATAAAATTTATTTATACTTAATACTTAGATTATTTCCACTATCAAATTTTGTGATTACAAATTGTTTTTTTTTTTAACTGTGATTTTTAAGGTGGGTGGGAAGGAGGAGCACGACACACCTGGGCAAGGGAACAACCACCAACCGGGATCAATTGACAAGGCTCACAGAGACGGATGTAAGATTATTATTATTATTTTTATTTGTTCTTTGTTTAAATTTTTTTTATAACTTAATTCCTAATTTTTTTTTGTATATTTTTTTTTTCAGTTCGAATGGCTACCCTATCAGTGGCACCTACAAGCGAATGTTTTTCCGGCCCAGTGTACAGAAGGTTCACACCTCTGGATGTATAGAGGGTGGATCTTCAACTGGAACGTCCGTGAACTCCACCTGCCTGATAGGGTCCTCCGTCAGTTCGGGTGCCGGCAGTCCACCCCCGAGCCTCCTATCCTTACGACTGAGACCGAATATCGGTTACACCATCGAGGCCAGGGAATGACTGGGAGGCCAGTTTTTGATTGGGTCGCCTTTCACGGAGAGTTTGGGAATGCTTGGGTCGAACATAGAGACAAAAATGTTGCCCCAGCCCAAGCAGTGGAGCCATTCATTGAGCCTGAGCCGGGTTACCTTGATTGGTTTCACAGTATCACTGTGAGACTACTCGGTGACCCTGCCAAGTACGCGGTGGCCCAACCGGACAGAGGCTTTCACCCACTTGCCGAGTAGGGGAAGTGCGATGTAAGTAATATATATTTGTGTTTATTATTATTATTATTATTATTATTATTATTATTATTATTATTATTATTATTTTGTTTTTTTGTTTTTGTTTCATTATAATTGACTTTGAATTTAATTTTCAGGCTACCGCCATGGAGGGTGCTTTTCACACGTTATCTAACGTGGACCACCTACATCATACACTCCATCCAGATGTATTGGCGGCATTCCAACAGGCCAAGAGCCTTCTATACAGTTCTCTGGCTGTCAGAGGCGGAGACGTCGCACAAGGGACGTCGTCGAGTCAAGTTCTCTCGTAGGAGAGCTACGTCCGATCCCAGAGGACGCAGTCACACCGGGCGAGGCATCGACCTGCTCCCAAAATTGGTGGAGGTAGAAGACGACGCGACCGCCAACCCGCTGCCGATACCGTGCCTCAGGAAGAAGAAGAAGAAGAAGGTGAAAATTTTTAACTTAACACAAAAATATAATTTTATTTATTTTTTGTGATTTTTGTTAAGTCGAATTTCTGATTTATTGAAACAATGAATTACTCAGCTGAAGAAGAAGAACCTACCACGCCCACAGCATCATCTTCTTCACGACCACCACGGCGTCGTGTTAGCTCCCGACCGCACAACCCTACGAATCGATACACTATTAGTTAGTTGTGTTGTATTCCGGGAATTTTGTGGACATATATATTTATTTTTTTTCTTTCTTGGTGGATTATGTGTAGTGATATTTGGACATCTTTGGATTTTTATATTTGGACAATGAATTATTGTGCTTCATTTTTCTTTCTTTGACGAATGGATTGATATGAGCTTGTGTCATTAATATTTGGTTGTGGATCGATCTCGATTAACAGATGTGTTTTTGTAATTTTTCTGTAATTTTTGCTGTTTCTGCACAGTAAAATGTATTTTCAAAATACGGTTTTTTTTTCTTTTTTTTTTTTTTTTCNTTTTCACACATATACATATAGTCACACTCTTTTTTTTTCCAACGATATGACATCTCCATAAATAAATAAGGGTGAATGTTTACAAGGGAAAAACCCCAATTCGGCACACTTGGGAGGACAAGCCACAGACTTGCCTAAACACAGCTAGCAACTAACTAATACAGGTAAACATAGCAACAAAGGAAGCAACAACAAGAGAAACTAGCCTCAACACTACATATACAGCTTCAATACCATCAGCACAAAATACAAAGCATACACAAGACAAATAACCCACTGACACTAGACCTAGGTTACAGACTTGGTACTCCAATCATCCTGAATTGTGCCTGCAGTTGTAGTCAAGCCAGTCCCTCAAAGCAGCCCTAACAATCCACTCCTCCGGTTGCCATTGGCCTTCAAACACCCACAGGTTTCTAGCTCTCCATAGCCACCACAAAATGTAGGTGGAGAGTTGAATCCTGTCCTCTGAAATATCATCATGCTTCATGTTGCTGATCCACCACCACCACTGTTTGACAGTGAGCTGTTCTTCAAATACCCTATTCCACTGGACAGGGGCAATTTTTCAAACTAGCACAGCTTTTTTGCATGAAAAGAGTACATGATCCTGAGTCTCTTCTCCTTCCCCACAGACTCCACATCTATTCTCAACAAGCATTCCCCTCTTCTGTAAGTTTGAGCTAATAGGAAGAATTTTTCATATGGCCTGCCACATAAAATGTTTAACCTTCCCCATCACCTTCAAATCCCAACATCTTCTTCTAGCTCTGTTATTAACTCCAGCTTGCCCACTGCTCTCAGCAACTGCAGATGAAGCCATCTTAGAAGCCAACAGGTAGCCATAAGCCTTCTTGACTGAGAATTTGCCTTTGTCAGCCAAATCACAATGTCTTTTATCATCAGTTCTTGGGTTCAATGAATTTATCTGCAGAATTTTCTCAGCATCTTCTTCTGAAAACAAGGCTCTAACAAGAGTTCCATCCCATTGCACACCACCTGCCATAAGAAGATCTTTAACCCTGAAAAGATTGCCATCTATCCCAACCTTTAGCTCTGGAGTAGTTCTGCTCAGACCTGGTACCCCGTTTGGATCATTAAGTCTGGTGCTCTGCCCATTCCTGATAATAACTCCCACATGCTTCTGCAAATCAGGAAGATAAGAAGCCCAAGAAGACCAGAGCCAAGATGCACCCCCTGTATTGTTCCATTCAAAGATAGAGCTGTTTTTGAAATACTTGTTCATAAGAAGTTGGCTCATAAGAAGATCAGGCTTTTCAATAATCCTCCACAGCTGTTTCAGGATTAAAGCCTTGTTAAACAACTTCAAATCTCTGAAACCCAAGCCACCATCAGATTTAGGCATAGCAAGTTTATCTCAGGATAGCCAATGGATACCTTTCTCTTTGTCCCCTCCCTTCTGCCACCAGAACTTGGATATCATTCTACAAATCTCCTTGCAGATACTAACAGGAATCACAAAGCAGGACATCACAAACACTGGCAAAGTACACAAAACACTTTTCACCAACACCTCCTTCCCTGCAGAAGATAGGAAGTTGTTCTTCCAGCTACTGATTCTAGCTTTCACCACATCTACCACAAATTGGAAAGTATCAATTTTAGAGGCCCAAATCCCAAGGGATAAGCCCAGATATCTAGATGATCTTTTAATTTCAACCCCCTCCAACAAAGCAGACAGCTTATTACTAACATTAGAAGTCCCATTTTTGCTCAAGAATAAGGAGGACTTACTCAAGTTAACTTTCTGACCAGTAAACAACTGATATTTAGCAAGAATATCCAACAACAACAGTACATGAGATTCATCAGCCTTACAGAATACTAGTGCATCATCAGCAAACAGTAAATGGGATATCATGGGGCCATCTTTTGAAATTTTAATGCCTCTGAACTCACCAGCAGATAATTTTATGTGTTAAGCAGGCTGATAATACCTCAGAAATCAGAATAAAAAGATAGGGGGACAATGGATCCCCCTGTCTAATGCCCCTGGATGAAGTCACATAGCCACACACTTTGCCATTCAGATTAAAAGAAAAAGTAGGGGCAGCAATGCAACTTAACACCCACTGAATAAATTTAAAAGGAAACCCCATCTTTCCCATCACTCTCCTAATACTCTCCTATTCAACCCTGTCATAAGCCTTCTCCATATCTAATTTGAGAGTCATAAACACATGGGGTCCAGAACTATGTCTATGGAGATAATGGAAGATTTCATGTGCTATAACCACATTATCAAGCAAAGCTCTACCAGGCACAAAAGCAGTTTGAGCATTACTAACACACACCTCCAGACAAGGCTTCAACCTATCAGCCAACAATTTGGCAATAATCTTATACAGCACCCCACATAGACTGATGGGTCTATAATTTTTCAGAGTTTCAGGATACATGCATTTAGGGATCAGAGTGATAATAGTATGCTTCAAATTTTTCAACATATGGCCAGATGAGAAAAAACTGCAAATAGCTCTACAAACATCATCTTTAATAATGTGCCAGAATTTTTTGAAGAAGATTGCTGTCATACCATCATCACCAGGTGCCTTCTCAGGGGCTAAACTGAACACCACAGCTTTAATTTCCTCCTCTGATACAGCTTTCACCAAATCAGAATTAACAGCATCAGAGATAGAAAAAGGAATATGTTGAAGCAGCTCCTCACCCCCCCTTGAACCTTCTGAAGCAAACAACTCAGAATAAAAATTAGAGATGTGATTTTGAATGGCCTCTTGAGTGGTAAAAACCTCCCCTAAGCAGCTGGTAAGCTTTGTGATTGAGTTGGCATGTCTTCTCTGAGAGGTAAAGGCATGAAAGTACTTAGAATTGCAATTCCCAGCTTTGAGCCATAGGGCTCTGGACTTGGTCCAGGTCACTCTTCACAGCTCCCCACTGTTCCCAGTCTCTATCCTTCCCTTCATTCCTCATAGCAGCCATCTTCTCAGACAGGACTTTGATAATCCTTTCTTGATTTCTGTGGTGTGGTTTGTGCCAGGCAAGTAAAGCCATTCTAGTATGCTTAATCTTCTGATGCACCTGGAATAATTCTGAGCCATCCACACATATCTGCCACCCTTCTCTAACAGCCTCCAAAATTCCCTCCATCTCCACCCAGCCACTATTAAATTGGAATCTCTTGTGCCTTTTATGCAGCTCTTGTTCAGTATCAAACAACAACACATTGTGGTCTGAGGCAGATCTAAAGTAATTTGAGGCCTCCATTCTAGGAAATCAAGCCAACCAATCCAAAGAGGCAAAAATTTTGTCCAGTCTCTCTTCAACATAGCCATCCCCAGCTCTATTATTACCCCAGGTGAAAAAGGATCCCTTTTGAGCAACTTCTTGCATCTCCATGTTATTGATAAATTCCTGGAGACCCACAAAGCTACATGGACTCCTAGTCAGGCCACCTCTCTTCTCCTCATTTGACACCAAATCATTCCAATCCCCTGCAATCACCCACCCTTCACCCCAACCACTTCTCCTCTGCTCTAGGAATTCCCATTGTCTACATCTGTCCCTTCTGTCAGTGCTCATATATACAAACAGCATCCAACACCAATCTTCAATCCCAGCCCCTTTAACCTCCACTTGCACACAAAAATCATTTTCCAAGATTTGGTTCACTTCCATCTGAGAGTCCCAGAGCAACAACCATCCACCTCTGGAGCCAATTGGATCCACCAAGTGCCACCTGGATGGAAAGCCAAGTTTCCTGCACACAGTAGTAGTAAATACTCTATTTTTCTTTGTTTCAGATAAGAATATAATATTTGGGTGGTGGATTCTTCTGGAATCCTTGATCTGGGACACTGTAGAGGGCCCACCCAGTCCTCTACAGTTCCACACCATGACCTTCATTGATCACATTGGGGCCAATTGTGGCTGGCCTTCTCCACCAAATGTTGGACATTGATACCTTTCTGTTTTTTGTCACTGGGTTCCCCTTCCTCCCTTCTTTGCAGACCCTCATAAATAATCAGGTCTTTACTTCTTTTCAATTGGCTATAAACATTGATTCCCTCTGAGACCTCAACACCCTGGTATTTGCTAGACTTGGCTGGTGTTTTCCTCATCCACATAGAGACAGGTCTCTTCCTCAGATTATAAGAACACTCATGTGCCACTGTCTCTACTTGGCTAATCTCCACACCTTGTTGGGGTTCTTCAGTTTCCATTAGCACCCCAATATCCCTCTCAGCAATCAACTCCCTTCCCACCGATTTCAATTCTGCACCAGTTTGTTGGGTCACTGTCATGTCCACTTCTTTGCTGGTTGCTAATTTGGGATCTATGGATTGGATTCTGTTTTCCATGAGGCCAGGACTATGAGCATTACCAGTATGAGCCATTACAGGTGTCAAGTTATCAGATACCCTTGAATCTTGATTGGCATTAGATTTAGGGTTGGTGTCCTTCTCCCGAGAGTGAGCACTGAAAGAGCTCCTGCCCCCACCAAATGTTTCACTGACCTTCATCCAGTCACCATATTGCCCTTCTATCACACAGTTATTTTCAAAGTCTTCTTCCCTCTTCTTACAATTTCTTTCTAAATGACCAATCATACCACAATAATAACACAAATTCACGAGTTTCTCATACCTGAAAGCAACCATAACTTTCTCGTTCCCCAATTTGACTGAAGTACATCGAGGAATAGGTTTATTTATGTCAATTGCAACCAGAATTTTGATGAAGCTGCCCACATCTCCCCCTACTTTACAGACAACGGAATTCTTAACCTTTTTGAAAATTTGACCTATCTTGACACCAACGTCTGTACTCATCCAATTTAAAGGTACATTAATAATTTGCACCCATAAATTGATTTCCTCAAAGCAACTATGCCTCCTATGCAAACCTGGGAACCACTCTTTCAATATCAGATATTGATTTTCATACATTCAGTTATTCCCTGACCCCACTTTCTTCATATCATCTTGGGACAGGAAAATGAACTGAAAGAAGTTCTCACTGATTTCCTTGACCTCCATTGAGTTCTGCATTCTCCAAATAAGGCCCATCGTCCTCTTAATACCCAACAAACCTGCGTGTCTATCCCCTACAATCTTACCAAATAGACTACGTCTGCATTCCTCTTCACTAGACTTAATATCGTCTTCCTTGAGTTCCACTTCTCCAGCTTCCATAGCAGATAAGGACATATTGAGAAGCTTTCGCATCACTCCCTCCTCCACATATCCCCTTGATGTATCTCCAGGTGGATTGTCACCCATCAGAGCCCAATGAAATGGGAAGCCCCCAAAACCCTACACAGGGCCACGAGCCTTTCTTAACCCTCGATATGAAAAACCCTACATCAGAGCCCAATAAAAAAACGTATTTTCAAAATACGTTTTATATTTTTAATTATTAATTTATGGAAAAATTTGTTTTCAAAATTGTAAATATTAATTTTATTTATAAAACGTACTATTGGAATACGTTTTATAATTAAAAAATAAATATATAATTATTTTTAGTTATAAAACGTATTCGAGTAATACGTCTTTATTTTTTTTAACTTAAAACGTATTTAAATAATACATTTTATCATATTTTAATTAACTTAATTACGTTTATTACGTTAATTTTTTTTTTTTCAAAAACGAATTCATTAAATACAAATAAAAACTTATTCTTTAAAAACGGATTTACAAAATACGGCCTTTTGATTTTTTTCCATTCTTTTTTTTTTCCACTTTTTTTTTTATTTTTAAATAAATAAAAAATTCATTAAAGAAAAGTAACTAGCCGTTGCTCCTGGAGCCGTTCCATTCCAAAGATGAGTTGCTGCCACTCTCATATTATTTGAGTGAACAAACAAAATTATTCAAATTCTACTCTTCTCTAATTCTAGGTTTTCCTTTTGGATCTGTACCTCCACACCGTTCCTGATGCCTTGTTGAATTGGATTTTAATCAAACACAACTACAATCGGCCGAAATTGAAGAAAAATTAAGTGGGCTCATGGGGGAATCTTCTGCGTGCCTCAAGCGCTCATTTTCTCATCCTTCTCCATCGTCCAGTGATGAGAAAAAGGTGTGTTTTCCTTTTTCCTTTTGTGCTTTAATCTTGATTTTTCTCACAAAACTGTCTAATTATCAAAGCAAGAAGCATCTGGTGTTCACTTTGTGATTTCGTGTGGGTAGGGTTTATATTGATCTATGTTGTTGATGTCGTCAAATTTACCTTACTTTTCTCAATTATTCGATCTGCTGTGGTCTTAAATTGATCGTAATAAAATGTAGGCGTTCTGTTTCATTTTATGCTTAGCTGAACTCCAAGCCTTTAATCTTATGAAGGCGAACTGTGATTTTCCTGTAAGTTTTATTAGTTGAATTTTATTTTTTGTCATTTGTCTCTCAGATATAGCTAATTCATATACCAACAATATTGTTAATCACATTCACAAGTGTGTTAAAGTTCTTACCTCCAAAACATTTTGCATATTGTGGCAAGTTCATTAAAGAATTGCATGCCAGATGTTAATTTTTATGGTTAAATGGACTGAATATATGGTGTAGATTGATCAAATTCAATAGATATCTTGGAAATATTATTGAGCAAACCAAGAGTCCTTGCAGGGGAATCCTTTACAGCGAGCCCTTACTACATCTGTATCTTTTGGGAGGTTCGTGTCCGAATCCTTGGATTGGGAAAAGTGGTCAGCTTTTACTCACAATCGGTACATGGAAGAAATCGAGAAGTATTCCAAGCCTGGTTCGGTTGCCGAGAAGAAAGCTTATTTTGAAGCGCATTTCAAGAGAAGGCGAGCAGCAGCAATGCTTGAACAGCAAAATGCGTCAGATAATGATATTTCTGAAATAAATACAGGCGTGAAGGATAAAGATAATTTCCCCTCAGGCATTGAGAATGCAAAACACAAAGACGAACCCAATAACGGCCCAGTTTTTTCTGTCGGTCAAAACGGGACTTCAGAAGAGGCCCAGCCTGAAGGAGGAAATGAGAATGTTACCCAACCACCTTTTCCTGCCAAAATACATGTGGAGATAACAAAGCATCTCGAAAATGCTGAATGCAATGGTGATACTGTATCCGAGGAAGATAATGATGTGTGTGAAAAGGTGCGCATGCCTTTAAAGTGACTTTTTGTGTTTAACAATTTGAGCTTATGAGTAAAATTTTTGTATTCTTACTTTGTTCTTAATTTTGGTGACGTGATTGTCTTAGGATGATGACTCTAGTAAGAGAACCTCGGCAGTGTTGAGCATGGAGAAATCAGAAGTTTTTCCCTCTAACCTATCGACAAACAATGGTGGTATTTCCGTTAAACAGATGATGCCTTTGCATACCAGGACTAGTGTCAAGACCCTATACAACAAGAAGGCAATGGAGCCAAACAACAAAGGTAAATCATCCCTTCACATGTCTGTCAACTTTGTCTCATGTTCCCAGAAAGCAACATCTCCAGCTCCTCCAAAGCTTGCTGCAAATCCAAGACTTGTAAAGGCCCCAGCCAAGAAATACAAAAACAGCACAGATGTCCCTGAAGCTTCGACTAGGGTGCGCCTTTTACTTTTGCTCCCTGTTCTAATCATAGTTCCGTTCTTTGAGATGTAATATTTTAATTGGGAATATGTATATAGTGCATGAGTTTTTGTCTGTTTCAAGTGCAGACATCCGTCAGTGGTATATTCAAGCATCTTTCAGCAGCACCTCCAGTAGAAAACAGAAGGTTCTTGGTCATCAGACTTGAAAATAAAATAACAAGGATATTTTGGAAATAATGTTTTACCTTTACTGTATACTAGTTCTGTTTCTTATTGATTTCTTGTTCGGTTTACAGGACTGTAACAGATCAGGGTGATTTGACTACATTTAGGAGAACAGTGGATTTTAAAGTGCAGGCTTCATCTTTAAAGTAAGCATTTTTCGCATCATATTCAAAAGTATGTCAATGGACTTTGAGTTTTAATTCATGTAGTGAAACTAGGATAATTGATATATAATGATATGGTTATTAAATTTTGGCAACCGGTGTTTCAGAATCTCCAAGTCTTCAAACATGTCTGAAGGGAAAGCACGATTGCCAACTGCGTCTTCTCCTTTCACGTTTAAGAGTGAAGAAAGAGCAGCAAAACGAAGAGAGGCAAGTCAAATTTGATCACAGTTCAATTATCAGCATCCTTTTACTTGCATTCAGTACTTCTGATTCTTTTGCTTTATTTATTGGGCTTTAGTTTTTCCAGAAGCTTGAAGAGAAGCTGACATTAAAGGAGACAGGGAAACACAAACAGGCAAAATCCCAGGTTCCAGAATATAATTATTTTGTTTAATTCATGCATAAAGTTGCAAAACATCTAAAACGAGGAAGAAAGAGCCATAAAAAGGGACTTTCAATAGTTTGCAATGGAAATTATTCATAATACCTACTGATAAGTCCGTACTCGCAGATGGAAAAGAAGCCTCTTTCACGATTGATCTGACTTTAACTTGAGATAGTTCAGAAAAGTTTTTGGTCACTTGCTTGTATATCTTAACCTTACGAGATATCAAAATGTCAACTTTTCTGGTATGCAGGTTAAAGCAATAAGTAAGTTTAAGGATCTTCAGAGCTCAATTGCGTCAAAAGCAATAGAAAATGCTGAACCTCCAAGAACAAAACTACCACCAAGTTATTTAAAGAAAAAGGTATGTCATGTCATTTGTTTAAGTTTTATGCTTATAAAATCCGAAAGATTGGATAAAGCTATTTAGCATAGATAATTATATATATTTACATGTGGCCACGATCACATGTGAATTTTGTCATGGCAATGTTATACAAATGTGTGAATAGTGTATGCCAAATCAGCCAAAGCTGAAGTTTCATTTGATGGGATCACTATATGAGCTAACACAACGGAAATAAAGAATACAAAAATAAGCATTTATCCAATAAATAATATTAATCCACTGGGAAACCTAATTAATACACGGTCGGCATCTTCAAGATGAAGCGAACTTTCATTTTCTAATCTTCATTAGCGATGAATAGAGGAATAATCCCCTTTCCGTATGCACACTGTAGAGATCCAAAATGGTTCGCCTCTAATGCAGTCCTCCTTTTAAACTATAACGAATAATGTCTCCGGTCCCGAAAATTAAATGGTCAATAGGAATAGTTTTGGAGATGAGAGAAGTATAGGGATATTTGTAAAAATATTTCTCTCATCTGAATACACATTGAAGAGCAAGAAAATTTGAACTCCACTGGCCTGCCCATAGCTGGTCCCTCTCTTGTGCATATATGTATCTTTCCTATTTAGATATTTAAAAACAGTTAAAGTGATAATGACCTAACATAA